CCCCACCGCCACATCGCCCCACCGCCCCACCGCCACATCGCCCCACCGCCTCACCGCCACACCGCCCCACTGCCACATCGCCCCACCGCCTCACCGCCACACCGCCCCACTGCCACACCGCCACACGCGTCGCGAGGCGGCTGCGTGGGGCTGCGGCTGTCACGGCGTGGAGTGGCGCGGCACGACATGGCACGACATGGCACGGCCAGAAATGCCTGCGGAGCGCTTGCGGACGCGGCATTGTTAATCGGCGTACGACGTCAGGGCGAGACCCACGGACAGCCCCGACACAGGAACACCACTGACCACATGGGCGTCCCTTGAAATAGGGGCACCGCCTCAGCCCACGAACACCCCTGACATAAGGACACCCTCGGCACAGGAGCAACTCCCGATAGGGACACCCACGACATAAGGGCACCCCTGACACAGGGGCACTCCCCGAGCCGGGGACACCCCCCACATTGGGACACCGCTGACCCCATGGACAGCCACTGTCAGAGAGTCAGCCCCCAAAACAGGGTCAGCCCCTGACACAGGGACACCCCGACATAGGAATCACCCCCAGCACAGGTCAGCCCCTGACACAGGGACACCCCCAACCCCATGAACAACCGCACCCCTGCAGCAGTGCAGTGGGGGGGCGGGTCACCGGGGGCACTGCATGACGTGTTAAAGAAGAAAGGGGGGAAAGCAGAAGAAACAAAAGAGAAAGGGAAAAAGAAAATAGGACAAATAAAAGGACCGAAAATGCAAAAGGAAGAAATAAAGCGCAGCCCAAACCGGACAGCCTCGCGGAGCGGGCGCCGTTCCCGGAGCTCTGCTGCCGCCCCATGGCCGCACCGCAGCTCGCCCGTTGCGCTGCGGGGCAGAAGCGCTCCGCTCGAGCTGCTCTGCGTGGCCCAAAGAAGAAACGAGGACGGGCACAGGCCTGATTCGAAGAGATACAGAAAGAGCAGCGTCGGCCACAGACACGCGGCCGAAGGGCAGGAACGCAAACAGCCCCCGGGGCCGGGCAGAGCCCCCCGGGCACCGCAGGGATGGGCGGGGACAGGAGGACGGGGGTGAGAGAGACGCATCACGAGAGAAAAGAAACAAGCCGAGGCGAGCTCAGAAATGGGCAAAAAGAGCAAAAAAGCGACCCAGCCACGGCATCGTTTAATGGCGACCACACGGCAGCAGGTTACAGCAGTACAGCGGGGTCAGAGCAGCTCCGGACGCGCACACGCTGCGGGGAGGGCACGGGCAGGGTCTGCAGGCACCCGCAGAGCCGGGCTGTCCTATCCCTAACCTTCCATCACGCACCCCGACGGCATTTCTGGTCCTCCCGCATTCCCCGCAGCGCTCAGCTCTGACGCCCCCAGCAGCCGCCGCCGGGGCAGAGGAGGGGAAGAAGCCGGCAGGTTGGGGCTGGGAACTTCTGGGTGGGCGCAGGAGCTTCGCTATCGCTGAAGGCTGAGGTCAGAGCGGCCTCCCCTGCGCTCAGGCACCCCTCGGGGCTCTCCTTGGTTTTTCCAGCAGCACACGACTGCAGCACTGCCTGCACCCGAGCGCTCAGCTGAGCTGTGACACAGGAACGCGTCTCGCACAGGGCCGGGCCTTGCAGCTCCCGGCAGGGCACGAGGAGCGCCGCCCGATGCTGCACCCAAGCGGCCGCACGGCTCTGAAGGGCTGCCAGGACGCGCAGCACGGCAACGCAGCAGCAGCTGGGGCTGCCGGGGCAGGGAATCAGCTCCATCGGCTCCTGTGTGCCATCCCACACCTCCGTGTGATGCACACAGGGCAAAGAGGAAAAGCTGCGGACGCCTCAGTACACTGCTGACTTGGAAACGCTGCAACTCAAGGCAGACGTGATTCCTGCACGGCCAAAGGCTGCGTGGCGCTGAGGCTGAGCCGCAGGTGGCGCCGAGCAGCCATCGGCTGAGCTCCAACCTCGGCAGCTCTGTCGGCCCCTGGGCCAGGACATCACCTGGGTGAGCTTAACGGGCAACTGCTGCACAATGACAGCATGGGAGAGGAGCACTGAGAAGTTTCTGAAAGGCAGCACGGCACGCAGCCAGTCCCCGCACACCCAAGCAGCGGTGCTCTGGAAGGTGCTGCAAGGTGCTGCTGCGCCAGCACTGAGTGCTGATGGGCACAGCACAGCGCTGCCACGGCTGCAGGCACCCAAACTATTCAACAGTCTGATGACAAGAAAGCATTGCTGGAGCAGTGTGAGCCCCCCGTGGAAGCGTTGGTGTGCAGTGAGCCATGCGGAGCGAAGCGGTGAAAATACGACGTCAAGTTGAGAACAGACAGAGTGAAGAAGTTCATCACACCACAAACTTACGGCTCCCAGGAACTCACCCAGCCGGGCCACGGCTTCCTGGCTATTGGAGCACATCAGAGCACAGCCAGGCTCGGAGCAGCTCCGGCCCTGAGGAAGGCTCTGCTGGGCAGACCCACACAGGACGGCAGCCATCAGAAACATCTCTCACTTCAGCTTGCTGCTCCTGAAGCACGGTGTTCGCCTTGCCCTCGGCGAGGGACTCCAAACTGTTTCATTTCCAAGGGCACAGCCATCCTCAGTGGGACGTAGCCCAGCTGAAGTTCTTTGGGCCTTAACTGCCACACTGCCACGCAGCCACTCTGCTGCCAGCTGCACGCCTGTCCTGTCAGCACTGCACTGCCTGCCCTCACAGCTGACACCTCCAGAACTCCTCCAGCAGCTGCTAGGTCAGAAAACAGAGCCCTCCTTAGAGAAGCCGGAGCTTCAGCTTAACAGCTGAGGGGAATCCTACGCCCTAGCTGCTGCAAGGCTCCCATCTCCTGCCCGCTCTCCCTGCTGTCTCTAAGCAGCACACGGCAGCCCCGCGAGGGGAACAGGGATGGCCCCGGCCCCATAGGAGAGCGGGACGCTGCCGATCCCGCTAGGAGAGCAGCAACGGCCCCGGGGCAGCCGCCTCGTGCCCCCTGCTCGCACCTCACAGGGCCGCAGGAGCATCAGCCCCAGGTAAGGCCAGGCACAGGAAAGGGACGAGACAACAGCCGACGCCCCATGCAGGCGCGCTGCACGCCCCGTTCCGGCAGGCTCTTACCGGGCTGCGCCGCAGCCGTGGGCACCAGCCGCTTTCCGGGCGGAGTGGAGGCCCCGCGGCTCAGCGCTTCGCCCGGGCGCGGCTCACAGCCGCCCGCCGTCGCTGCCATCGCTCCCCTCGCCCGCAGCTCCGTCGCACCGTGCCCGGCCGTCCTTCGGCGGCTCTCGGCGCAGCAGGAGGCGCGCACGAAGCTCGGCGCCGCCCGCGGGGCTCCGAGGCGCACGGCTCGCAGCGCCGGCTGCGGGAGCGCGCACGAGGACACCGAGAGACGAGACGAGCAGCAGAGGCTTAGACCAAAGGCAGTGGACATTTATTCCTCGTTTGTGCGAGAGTGTAAAGATGCGCTTGAGTACGGCTGGGACGCGCTCCTGTGGCGGCAGAGCTGGAGGCCGCAGCCTCTCCTGGATAGTCGATGGCTTCGTTTTTACAATTATACTAAGAGGAGAAACTTGCAGACTCACCTATTCACACGAATGATGCTGGCAAATACACTTGTATACAAAGAAAAGTTCCAAACTACATTTTTCACTAGATTCAAGTGAAGACTTTGTTCAAAAAAGACACATACAAGTACAATTTAAAAGTGTATGAACATTTGCAAATGTTTAGTGCAAAGTAATTATGTAAAAGCTACATTTTATGAAAGTTTGTGCTGATGTGTTTGGTAGTTTGTTGTTTTTCTTTTTAATACCCTTTTACATCCATTATTTTAATTACATAAGGTTCCGTTTACCTACAGTACATATGCGTCGTGTTAGGTCCCATGCAAGTGGGAGTAATACCGCCAGGCTCTGCAGAGTGTCACTGATCCTTTAGTAAGCTGCTTCTTGGCTGTAACAGTCAGGCTCCTGGCACAGCTCACGTCCTGCCCTGCTGCCAGAGCTGCAGCTCCCGGCGGGGCACAGCCTGCTGTGCTGCAAACCAAACTGCTCCACCACCTCCAAACGCCACCCCGGGTGAACGCGGGGCTTCTAGAGATCCGTCGTTAGTTTCAGCCTGTAACAAACTGCTCTTAATAATTAAAAGCCTATTCACACAGAGTTATATGTAATGACTGTAGTAATCAGTTTATTACACAGATTAATCATTCTCGAACGTACAAGCTCCAGGGGAGCAGCTGGGATTTTAAATATACACAAGTTTTCCGTCAAATGGATTTTTACCCTTACATCCAGAAAGACCTAAGCGGTTAAAAAACTTAAGAAAAATAAGAGCTATTAGCTATGTATTAACTGAGGAACCACGTACAAACCAAAGAGAGCATGGAGGAGGGGAGAGAGTGGAAACGAATCAACATCACTTGATGCACTAATAGCTCCGATCCGTTTACATGCCGAGCAGCGAGGCTCAGCCCCTCAGCAGGGCTGTGGGCACGTTCAGTGCATCGCCCAGCACATTCACCTAAGGTGGAGGTCCTTCAGAGCAAAACGAATACAGAAACGGCTTCGAGTTCTTCACCTCGCCTTTCATAACTGTTATGAGTGTAAAAGGATTCCACTTCCCATCCTTCACAGGCCGACAGCTCTGCTCCCACAAACGCCACCTCCACCCCAACTCTCCCATCCACCTTTTCTTACCCAATTTAAACGGACAAGGAATGCTTTTAGGCTCACAAAGTTATGACTGAAGAACCAGATTTTCACACACACACTTCTCTGCTAGGAGTCAATGTTGGTACGGGGAAATACAGTATTTCTATTTTGTTGTTCCAAGTATGTACAACACGCAGCACTGCTGTATCAGGTAAACATGTGCACAGGGGAAGATGAGGCGTGGGCTCATAGAAAGCAGTCAAATGGAAATCAAAAGGACTTTCTCTTTCAGAGTTCCCCTATCTTTATTTGTAGAGGTTATCCAATAATTTCTTTAATTACATCGCATACTTCTGAGTCCATTCCCGAGCTATTCTGTTGTACCTGCATGTACAAAAAGAGCATTCACTTAGCACAGCATCCCAGCTCAGTAACACCACACGAACTCGAGACCCTGCAGCAGCACGGCCGTTTTGCATGAGTAAAAGAGCAAAGGGCAGCATGGTGCCAGCAGGAGGGCAAACAGAGCCCCCTGCACTCAGTGAGCAGAGCAGATGTGCCCTGCTGGAGCGGAGGCTCCTTGCGATGCGAGCCGCAAACAGAGCAGCTGTGAGGAGCATTTCCAGCAAGGTTTCACCTGCTCCTCTCCCAGCCGCAGGGCTTTAATCGGGCCGTTCTGGAGAGCCACAGATCAGTGCCTCCCTCCCAGCCCTCCGCACCCCCACAAGTTCAGCCCAGTGGTGCCAACCCCTCCCAGGCTCCCGCTGCGTCCAGCCTTGTGCACGTGGCTACCAGCACACACAGCCTTGCCCACGACAAGCTCTTACTCTGAAGGCACGCTCTGCTCCTTCCTCCCAGCCACCTGGAGCTTCTGCTCCCCTTTACAGCCAGAATCACATCCAGAGGAAGCTCGGGAGGAGCACGTGAAACAAAGCGGCGGCTGTGACTTACAGCACTGATAAAGGTGGTGTTTCTGACTACAGAATTCGAGTTTGCAGAAAAAGCATCACAAGGCAGGAAGTTTCCTACTTATTTACACCAACCAAGTTTCTGTGCTGCAATTTAGTCTGTAGACAAAGTTCTTCAGCTTAAGAAAATCGAGAAACCAAAAGAAAGCAACTGTCACTTGCTTTGAGGCTACTGAGAACCAAGTCCAGATATGCGTGAGCACAGAAGTTGCTGACTCTGGAGGAAGGGGAAAAAGCTCCTACATACAGTGAATAGGAAAGTATGCTTAGCTGAGACTCGACACACACCCTGCAAACCTCGCAGCTCTGACTAAAAGCAAGACGCACAGAGTTCCCTATTTCTCAAACACCAAAGTTTGAGAATCACTTTCCTTCCTTGCTCTCATGACACAACTCTGTAACTTCAGGAATTAACACCAGCGATCAGAGCTGGATGACAACAAGGGGGTAAAAAAAACCTCACACGATCACAACTGCAACTGCAGACAAGGCAGCGCCACTCAGCGAGTTCCCCTGCCTTGCCCTCTGCTGCAGTCAGGCTTCCCACATCCCTGAGCTCCAGGCAGGGGTTGGGGGAGCAGAACCCTTCCCACTGCTGGGAGCACAGCAAGCCTGAGAGCACCTCACGAAGCTGAATGCCTGTGGGAGCACACCATGTGCATCCCAGGGTCCTGAGAGAAGCCGCTGATGTGGCTGCCCAGCTGCTCTCCATCGCATTTGAGCGGTTGTGGCTGTCAGGTGAGGTTCCCAGAGACTGCAGGAAGGGAAGCATCGCTCCCAACCTTCAAGAAAGGAAGACCCAGGAAACTACAGGCCTGTGATCCTCAGCATCCATGCCTGGAAAGATGGAGGAGATCTTCTTGGAAAGCACGAGAGATGAGGAGATGAACAGAGACAGCCAGCACGGCTTCACCAAGGGCAGAGTGCCTGACCCAGCTGGTGGCCTCTATGATAGAGCCATGGCACTGGTGAAGAAAGGAAGGTAAACTGCTGTCATGCACCTGGGCTGCTGCAAGGCCTTCGCCGTGGCCTCACACCACATCTAAACTGAAAAGAAATTCATTTGAAGGGTGGGCTGATCAGCAGGTCAGGAACTGGTTGGTCAGCCAGAGGGTTGCAGTCAGCAGCTCCATACGAGGGGGAGGCTGGTCACAAGCCCAGGGGTCCATCTTGGTGCTCTTCAATGTCTTTATGAATGACAGACAGCAGAATCAAGTGCACCCTCAGCGAGTTTGACCAAGATGGGCAGTGCAGCTGACACCACAGAAGGAAGAGGTGCCATCCAGAGGGACCTGGACAGGCTGAGAAGCGGGCACACGTGAATCAAACAAGGCTCAACAAGGCCAAGAGCAAGGTGCTTCACCTGGGTCAGGGCAATCCCTGATATGCACATGGACTGGTAGAAGGCCTCACTGAGAGCAGCCCTGAAGACAAAGACTCTGCGGTTCTGGTGCTCAAAGCCTAGAAAGACAACAGGACCCTGAGCTGCACCAACAGAGGGACAGAGCCAGGATGGTGAGGAAGGGGACTGCTCCCCTCTGCTCTGCCCTCGTGAGGCCCCACCTGGGGTCCTGCATCCAGGCCTCCAGCACAGGACAGATGAGGCTGGTGGAGCAGAAGAGGCCAAGACAACATTCAGAATGCAGCAGTACCTTCCTGACAAGGAAAGCCCGAGGCTTCTCCAGTGTAGAGAAGAAAAGGCTCTGGGGAGACCTCACTGTGACCTTCCAAGTACCTGAAGGGAGATTATTTATAAGGAGGAGATCGACTTCTTACGTCATCTGACAGTAGGATGAGGGGGAACAGTTTGCAACTAAGAAGGGGAGACTTTGGTTACACGGCGAGAAGAAAATCTTTATTCAGATGGTGGTTGTGGCATCGGCTGCCTGGAAAAGCTGTGGTGCCCTATGCTGGAGAGGCCCGAGGCCACGGACAGGGGGGGCAACCAGCCCAAAGCAAGGGGGTTGGAACTGGATGGGCTTTAAGGTCCCCTCCAACCCAAACCATTCTATGCTTTATGTTTAAACTGGTGCTTTTAAACAAAACAGTGGAAACCTTCTCAGTAGTGGACTTCTCTTCAGTTTGCAGTTCACCTCAGAGGCAGCTTGTGTCCTCCCCCCCTCTCTCTACACCACTTGTTCTTTCCTTGGGTTGTCAAATGAAGATGAAAATAGTACTTTGTTGTTTCTTTGCTTGCCTGACTCCATCACCAACAGCTAGCATGGAAACATCCTCCCACCGAAGCAACTTGTTCTCCCTCTGCTGGCTATGTAGGATTAAAGCACACGGTGAAACTGGTGAGATTTTAGAAGCCTGAACTTAGCATCATATGCAACAGATTTGCACTGCTCACTTTACATTAAGCAGACCTGCAATTAACAGCTACCACACTACTGAAAAATACTGTGTAGAATGAAAATGCAGTAAGAAACTCAAAGAAGAAGAACGTCTCTGCTTGCTTTACTTCTACCAGAAAAGGTGTCTTTTTCCTACAGCAGTGGAAAGCTGTCAAAATAGCTGTATTACACCACCCATGAAAACCCAAACCCACCACATTCACAGCGTTAGGAAGGAACAAATCAAAGTTCACACTTCTCCCCACGAAGCATGGTTGGTTTTTTTTCCAGTTCCCTTTTACTATTAAAGCATCAACTCTGTTTACGTTCCACCTTTGGCTTCCATACTCACTTTTCTCTATCTGTTTTGTAGATCCGTGCAATCTCAGGCACTAAAGGATCATCTGGATTGGGATCACACAACAGAGAACAGATGGACAAAAGTACTAGGGAGAGAGAAAAAACACTGCATTAGTTTAAACACAGCTGAAGGCACCTGCAGAAGTCAGGCAGCCTGCCTGCTTCCCCCAGGCAGCAGTATTAGCAGCAGCTCTTAAACCCACGTGCAGCAATCCCACCTCCTTCAGCCAAGCCATTTTGAACACAAGCTCTTAACTGATCAACTGTGTGTGACTACAAGTTTCTCCCATCTCAGCTCCACCACTGGAAATCCTCTGGACAGGAATATCCCACTAGAACCTTCAAATCCTAAGGGAGAAGTGCGCTGCTTGAAAGCCTTCTTACAAGCATACCTGCTATTAGACCTGAAATTCAGCTTCTTCCTTCACAGCAGACACAAAGCACTGAACAAAGCAGCAGTACAAACAGGTACTGTATATATCCCACGTCCCACCTGCGTGATGCTGCCTAGCACAGCATCAACCTTCGTCCCTATAAGGAGCCAGAAGACTACAGACAGATGTGTGCATTCCTACGCTCACAGCAAAGCAGGAGAGATGAAGAGGTGTAAGTTATAAGCAAGGCACTTTGGGGCAATGCATGAAGCATGTCAAGGGCCTCGTGCCCTCTAATGGCTGCCAAACGCTCCTGGGATCAGAACTGGCTGAATGCAGTACAAACAGTGCCACTCCTTGTGTCCCCTCCATCAACAGCACTGACAGAGGCGTCACGAGGCCTCTCCCAAGCACGTTGGAGATGGCAGCAACCACAAGTTTGAAGGCACTGATCTGTCACAGCTTCCACCAGTTGCTACTCTGACCTGGAGCACAGGAGGCAGAGCTGGCACACTGATACACATCAGCTACAAATAGGAAGAGAGCAGCACGCATTCCACAATTCACTTTAAAAAAAGAAGTGAGCTTATAAGAAAGATCACAAAATAAAGGCTGCTGAGGTACAGCTGAAGAGGAGGAGAACAGGCCAGAAGATTTTAAATAGGACAGAAGTGAAAGCTTCAGGAGATGCTCAGTGATGAACACGAGAACCCAGGTCAGTTTTCCTGCATGTTTCTGTAGACTCATCGCAGGCACAGTAGGCATTTAAGTCAAAAGCTTCCAGAACACATTCACTAGTAAGCTCTGCTCCTGATCTAAGTGAACATACTTCCTGCTCTCAAATGAAGAGCAATCTCCTCCCCCAGCATCCTCTTCCGCTTTGGATCAGCAGAGCACCACTGCCTCAGAAGAGCTGCCCATCTCCAACCACAGAGCTCATCCTTCAGCACACGTGGTTCTAAGAACTGAGACTGCAAGAGCAGCTCTGCCCCACTGCTGTCAGCCTCACCTGTAGGAGCTCAGTAACGTGGAAATCACCCCACCTACCCGTGACACCTGCGCTACGCATCCAGTGAAGTGTCTACAGAAAGCAACCTTTGGAAAGAGAACATCTTTTACTCTTGGTAAATGTTAAACAGCACAAAGGCTGACCGTCAGAAGTGCACCTACAAACAGCTTTTAATTTTACATTCTTTCTGGTCTCACGGACTTCACTGCCAGCCACCTCGTGCACCAGTTCAGTTCTGCAAACCTCCAGTTTAAGGAACAACTGGGATTTAAGTTTTAAATCCACTACTGCCAATTTCACTCTGTACTCATGGCTTTCTACTGCTCACTCATAATTAGAGAGCATTCTGCACAATCAATCACCCCTTGAACCATTCAGACCTGTCTGAACGCGGCTTCAGAGCTTAATGATTTTACCTGTGAGCTAGAGGCACATCGGAACCACTGGACCTGAACTGCTGTCCCTTACCAAGGCTGAAAGAGAGGCCTGGCAAGGCTGTAACAGACACGGCAGCTCATCACCTTTAGCTCTTTCCACCAGTTCCAGCTTTGGTCTCTCTGCCACCTCAGACACACCTGCAGCCAGCAGCACAGCCTGAACACGGCAGGTTTCTGTAGCTCCCTTCCTGTGGCCTTTGTCTTTGTATTTCCAGCCTCCACAGACAGACACTGAGGTCTCATCAGGCGACAGGATGAGTAAGAAAAGCTAACATCCGTTCCTTCCTTTACACAGAAGGAAGAAATCGAGCCAAGGAGCACTGAACAGGCACTGAAGGGCCATGGCCCCAAACTGCTGGAGGTCAAGGAGCATTGGGACACGGCTCTCAGTCAGAGGGTTTGAAATTTGGATGGTACTGCACAGAGCAGGGGTTGGATCAGCGATCCTCGAGAGCCTTTTCCAGATGGGAACGTTCCATTTCTGTGATCCCAGCCGGATTTATTTTACCACAGTCCTTAGTTACCATGGCTGACATTGCAAAGGACGGCTTGCCCCAAAGCAGCAGCACCCACCTGCAAGGCTCTGTTCAGCCCCACCTGCTCCCTTTCCCCAGCCACTGACAGCACCCTGCACACCTGCCAGCAGCCCCTTCCAGCACAGGCAGCAGGGCAGAGTGCTGCTCCATCCCCAGTGATGCTGCCCTCCGCACAGCAGAGCACTGCCACGTTCTCCTGGCTGGGAGAGGCTGTGCTTTATTGGAACCCCACCACCAGCTGCGCTTTCAGCAATGACTTCTGGCATGCTAATAACTTCAAAAACAATCTCCAGATCTTGTTTTGCAGCAGATCACTTCTATTGTAGTATCTCTCCAACGTTCTAGAAACTGGACTCAATGCAATTTCAAGCTGCACTGACATTCAGTTGTGTTTTTTCTTTAAATCATTAATCAGAACTATTCTCCACTACTTGCTCTGACTTACAACTTCAGATCTTTCAGTTTTATCTGTACAGCTTCAGCAAGCAAAGCAGTTTTAACTGGAATTTATTTCAAGTGGTTTAATTTTGATAGGCTGCTGAAAGCAGCCAGCTGTCCAAAATAAATTCAGCAGTTCTGTGTTGATCACACAGGTTTGAGACCAACCAAATCGACAGCCTACAGACCACCATTACAGCCCCTGGAAAGAAAGAAATACACCCTGGCATAAAGTGTAAAAACCCAAATGTAAGAGGAGAGAGCAAATAATTGGCAGATTTTTAGGAGTCAGTTATTTCTATGAGCTCTTTCACACAGTAATTAAATAAGCCAGCGCTGCAGAAAGGAGCAGACCAGCTTTGCAGGGCAATGAGTATTACTGGAATGAATCTCACAGCACAGCCTTGATGTTCACTGTCAAGTGCCAGTATCAGCAGAACAGGTACAGAGTACAGCAGTAAGGAAGTTCAGAACAGCAAGTCTTGTGAGCACAGCACTGGGCTGAATGTGGCGGCACAGCTTGAAGCAAGAGGTTGAGCGCACTTATCAGCATTTTGGAGTGGTGCTTCCTACAGCAGATGAACTACTGCAGATTAGGCTGAACCACACAAGCATGCAGTGACACTGCTCTATGCCACGTCCGTTCGTCCTGCTTGGTAACAGGCAGGGCTGCTGCAGTGCTGGTGGAGCACCAGTTTGACTGCATTTCTCAAGTCTCTCACTGAGAGAGACATTAATGGTGGGGGTGTGCGTGCTCCAGAATCGAGGTTTGCATTTGTCAGCAATAGTAGAACAGATCAAGTTTAACTTCCCACTGACTCAGATGGTTCAAGCACTGAGTTATTTCTCATCTATTCACTCTTAACAGTCCAGCCTGTAGCAAAACATCAAGCAAATCAAAGCAGACTGTTAAAGCCTCCTTTCATTCAAAAATTGGTTTTCCTCCAGCTTTGTTTTACTTCCCTGAGTGCACAGCCTGTTTAACTCCAATACTTCAACTGTGAACTCCATCTATCTCCCACAGACAACGAGAACAGCTTGTCCTTCAGAGGACTCCTCCCTTCTATGAACTAGCAGAGAGCAAGCACTTCACAACCTTTAAGTAAGGAATCAGGAGAACAGAACTAATCAAGGAGGAGACTGTTAACAAAGTGCCTCTAAAGAAGCAGTGGGCTCAGCTCCCCCCAGCTGCTGATAAGGCACTCTCAAGCAGTCTGATCACTTAACACTTGCTATCACCTAAGGATCCTCAGCAATGTGCTCTCTGACGCCAGCTGAGGCCTAACAGTGCACATCCCTGATCACAGAATCACACTACACTGATCTAAGTCTACTCGCAAGACTTCCCTTCACACCACAGGATGCTCCAAAATTCAAGGGCAGCCTGCCTCGAGGTAGCTCCAATGTGCAGAGAATCATGCCATGTGCAGCTTATCGACAAACTTCACAGGTTGCTGCTGTAGGATTCACCTCATCAGCAGGCTCTTCTATCCTCCTCACTCTGCCAAACCTCGGATCAAACTGCAGGTAGATGCAAGTTCAATATGTAAGCTCCACGGCTGCACTTCTGCCACAACCAGCTCAGTCATTGCTCAGGACAGGATTCACAGAGCAGGTTGTGTGCAGATCCTTCCAGTGCAACATGGAGAACAACTAAACCCAATAAAACGGCCTACTGGAACTTGCTATTGGCCCACACAACTCTAAGAGATGCATCAAGACCCCAGAATACAGCAGTGAACAGACACCTTTACAAACCACAGGCCCCCACGGAGCCCACAGGGGAGAGTAAGCTCCACATCCAGAAGCTTTCCCTAGAGTTCCAGCAGGAAAAGGAAGTCAAGAGGAGCCGTGGCAACCAAGTTCTGTTGGTGGCAGGCATGATTATCAAGTGCATCACACAGTTCTGACACCTCTGCATTCCTGGAGCATGCAGCTGCAGCTGACAGCAGTTTTAAGAGCAGCAGAAGCTGTGTACCAGCCTCATGCATGACTCCTCCACACAAACGTGCAGGCAATTAGACCAAGCCTAGTCCTGGTCTGCTGTAGGAAAGGTTACCACTGAAAGCCTCTATTTAAGCCTCATTAGGAGCACTGAAGCTACACTTCTAGTTTCTCTAGATACCAGCACTACAAAAGGCCAATACCAGCCCTGCACTACCACAGCATATGAGACTGTGGTCCCAGCTGATTAAGAAACAAAGATGTTATCGATGTAGAAGCCTGATTTGTGACCCTGAGGCACAGATTCCACAAGATTATTAGGAAGAACTGAAGAGCATCGCTGGTTTC